TCTATTGCTCCCTGCCAGGCCTAATTCCACCTGAGTAGACACCGGACCTTCACCCAAGGCACAGGATCCACAAAGAGATGTCAGGAAATAACAGTCAAAGAAGACATGCAGGTCAGGGGTTCTGATTCACAGGAATTCTCAAGAGGTGGAAAGGGTCTAGGATTTATACTGCCTCTAAACTCGAGAGTCTGTTGGTAGGAGCCAGGATAGGAACCAACAGAGATGGGATGGACCCACGATCGGATTAGGCATGAAGTGGTTGTTTCTGGCCTGTTCCTGGTGAGGCCCTGGGAGAGGTTCACATATGCTAAGTCTCAGAATCGCAAGTCTAGGAACTGCCCCTTCCCAGGGTGCTCCCCTAAGACCAGCCTCCAGCGCCTGCCAGAAGACACGCATCTCTTTGTCAGCTCTCTCTTCTGATGATAGCTGGACAACAGGTATATACTGATTGAATTATTAACCATAGTCATTTGTTGTTGTTCAGTCACTAAGTTGTGTCCAACTCTTTGCGACCCAATGGACTCCAGCATGCCGGGCTTCCCTGTCCTTCACCATCTTCTGGAGCTTGCTTAAACTCATGTCCATTGAGTCAGAGATGCCATCCAACCATCTCATCCTCTGTTGTCCCCTTCTCCTCCTGCCTTCAATCTTTCCCAGCATCAGGGTCTTTCCCAATGAGTTGGCTTTTCCATCAGGTAGACAAAGTATTGGAAACTCAGCTTCAGCATCAGTCCTTCCAATGAATATTCAGGCTTGGTTTCCTTTAGGATTGACTGGCTTCACCTCCTTGCTGTCCAAGTGACTTTCAAGAGTCTTCTCTAGCACCACAGTTTGAAAGCATCAGTTCTTTGGTGCTCAGCCTTCTCTATAGTTCAACTCTTACATCTGTACATGACTACTGGAAAAACCATAACTTTGGCTATCTGGACCTTTGTTGGCAAAGTGATGCCTCTGCTTTTTTAATGCACTGTCTAGGTTTGTCACAGCTTTTCTTACAAGGAGCATGCATCTTTTAATTTCATGGCTGCAGTTACCATCCATATTTATAGATAACATTTAATGACAGTTACTAGGAGCAAAGCACTGTGTTCAATACATCAACAGCACTAATTACACAATGTTTAAAGTGACCCAAAAGAAAGGTGCTATTGTTGTGCCCATTTTAGGGATGGAAAATCTGAGCATCTGGGGAGCTAACTAAGTAGTCTAAGGTCACACAGGGCAAGGATCTGAGCTCAGGAAGCCTTACTAAATACCCTATGTTCTCTGCTGTTGTGTGAAGACAATTGCTCTAATCTATGCCCGGCACCCAATTGCTCTGTGACCTGTTCAACACAGAGGCAGTTGTCACCCTTCCTGTTTGTCAGCAAATGTGTGCAGAACACACTGCCAAGTGGCAAATGGAGAGAATGTGTAGGTCTGGCTTTCCTACCGCTTTGCCACAAAGCTTGTGTTTTAGCCACCAGCTGTCATGATTTATCTCCTGGTGAGATCATACTAAAAGCTGTGTTCTCTCCTCACGCCTCATTAAGAGGAAGCATCTCTGAGTCTCTTGGTCAAGATATTCAGCCCCTGAATTTAGGCAGCATCACACCTACACCCAAACCCACACAAGGATTGTGCAATTGGTTCTTCTTTGCATTGTTTTCTAGGAATGTGAGCCGCTTCAGGATATGCATCCTTGGAGTTTTGATTAAAGAGGGTTTTCTGACCTAGGCTGATGTCTGTTCTGACTTGATTTCGGCCTTTGGGAACTTGTCAGGTTTTAACTCAACTGACGGTTCAGAACATGCTAGTTTACAAATAAGACTATCCTCAATGATACTTTGTTCAGTATCACTCATTCTGCTGTCATTTCCAAAGCCAAAGCTGAAGTGAGCAGCATTTCATGTTCATTTATACTTTGCTGTGTATTAAAAACTGTTATTTAACATAATTTGAGAGTGGAAGGATCCAGCCAAAGAAATAAAATAATATTTCTAGATTTCTAATTTAGTCTTGAATATTAATGGTTTCTTGGGCTGACTCACAACCTCCTTCCCAAAGTGATAGTTTCATCTTTTTCCGGTGTCTATGGGCTAGATGTATCAAGGAGAAGGAAGAGGTAGGAATAGGTTCTGTGATCTTGTATTCCCAACATTTACGATGCAGGGCCACCCCACCAGGATCTGCATGGGGTTTGCCTCCAGCGTAGGGCCAGTCTGGATGCGAGGGTGGACAGGAGTGGCCGCCCGAGGTCCCAGCTGGTGAGGAGTTGAGGAGCCTCCTCGGAGGGGCTCATCTTGAGAATGGAGGGAAGGGAGCACAGATTAGCCAGAGGGGAGGTTCTGTCCTCTGTGGGGCTGGGGGTGCCTCCGAACCTCCCTCAGTGTCAGGATCCTGACTTGACTGGGGCAGACCTCAGGGTCGCTGTGACGCTGGCAGGTCTAAGAGGCAGCAGCACCTGAACCACAGGGCTTTGAGGTAGGCGCTCAAGAGAGGCCCTAACAGCAGGGCAGCGGTCACACCAGCCCGAGGAGGGACGGAGCCGCAGGAGAGGCCCAGGGAGAGGGCACTGTGTGCAGAGGCACTGATCCTATAGGCACTGCTCCTATAGGAGCACCCTTGGGAGAGTCCCAGAGCAACAGATGGCTTGGAGGTCCTTAGAGGTAATGGGCAGGAGCATTCTCACTTGCTACTAAGGCATTTTTTTTCCAGCTTCATTGAAATACAATTGATATACAACATTGTGTAAGGTCAAGGTGTACAATGCAATGACTTGATATAAACATATATAGCAAAATAATTACGGCAATGAGGCGAGTTAACATCACCTCATATTGTTACAGTTTTTCATCTGTACAGTGAGGAATTTTAAGATCTAATCTCTCAGTAATTTTCAAATATACAGTTCAGTAACATTAACTATTAATCACCTTGCTGTATTGTACATGTTCAGGGACCATTCATCTAATAACTGGAAATTTGGACCCATTGCCCTTTGTTTATATCTCCTATTAGTTCTGTTAGTATCTTTTACATATTTAGGTCCTTCAGTGTTGGGTGCTGGTTAGACACTATTTTTAAAAATTTTCACGTCTTTCTCTGATTTTTGACTGTGCTGGGCCTTTGCTCTGCACAGGCTTTTCTCCACTGCAGAGAGTGGGGACTCCTCCCCAGTTGTGGCGCATGGGCGTCTCGTGACCTGGCTTCCTGGGGAGCGTGGCTCTGGGGCGTGCAGGCTCTGTGGCAGGACGGCTCTGGGACACAGGCTCGGCAGCTGTGGCTCATGGGTCTCGTTGCTCCACGGCATTGGGAATCTTCCAGGGCCAGGAACTGAGCCCGTGTCTTCGGCATTGGCAGGCAGATTCTTTACCACTGAGCCACCAGGGAAGCCCTGGACATTATTTTCATTTTCAAGCTATTGTAGCTTAAGAAACCTGTTACCTATACACACTACTAGATGTAAAATAGTTAAGCAACAAGAACCCACTGTATAGCACAAGGAACTCTGCTCAATATTCTATAATAACCTAACTATAAGGGGAAAGGATCTGAAAAGAAAACTATAAGGGGAAAGAATATATTTCTATATCTACATATATATCTGAATCACTGTGTCGTACACCTGAAGCTAACACAATATTGTAAATCAATTTAAATAAAAAAAACAATTTTAGAAAAAGAAAGTAGAAAGAGAGAAAGATCACCTCACCCATAATAAGTACACAATAAAGTTTGCTATCATACTTTGTATCAAAACAAGAAACCTCAGTTAAATACCAAATCTTCAGGTTCCTAACAGTGGAGATGTTGGTACAGAGTTCTGGCTTTGTCTAGGATGACATTTCAGGAGAGAGTTTCTGCTTCCCATGCCTATTTTTGCAACCAAAATTCACTATTTAATTGGAAATTTTTTCCATACACAAACAGATATGAATAAAAATTTCATTATTCCCAAAAGTAGCTGCATATGCCTACTGAGTCAGAAGCACCACAGCTGAACTGGGGCACAGCCTCCTGGGGGCATCCTCAGCTGCCAGGGGATCCTCTTGTGTGCCTCTCACTTGTGCTCAGCAGAATCACACTTCTGGGCCCTTTTGAAATGAAAAAGCAGAATGGAGAGTAAGACCTGTGATGCTCCATTGGGTACGCCAATGGAACATAGGCCTATTGTGTTCCATTTCACAATCCCATTTTTTTTTTCTTTTGCTTTAGTCCTTGAAGGAAAAGCAAAGATGGGGAGAGGATTCTCAGAGAGGCTTGGTGCCAACACAAATAGGTAGGTCGAATTGTGCAAAAATAACTCCTTCCCACAATCTCAGGTAAAAAACTCGCCCGAGTTGAGGAGTCTCTCACATGCAGGTCACATCTGGAAGGTTTATGCCTCTATAAACATTACTTTCATTTTTCCTATTAATCACTTGAACACCACACGCCTGTTTGGCAGTCAACTTTCTCCATCTTCAGGCCCCTACCTATGTTGAATCATCCAAGAATCCCATGGGGTCAACAGGGGTGGGTGATCAGAGCTCTCTTAGTCTCAACTCCAAAGAAACTTGGAGAGAGTTGGAGTTGGTAGGCTGGAGCCTACCCATGTTGCGATTGATTGCTGCCAAGTTGTTCAAGTGGGGGCTCTGCAACCCACGGGTGCTGGGTGTCTGATCCAGGCTGATTCCCACCGCAGTGCAAGGACTCTCCAAAGAAGTGTGGTGACACGCTGGCCTTTAACCTCCGGGTGTCTTCTCAGGCGCATCCCAGACTCCAGCGCGTGGGCATACAGGGTGGAGTCCTAGATTCTGGAGCACCCACTCCAGCCACAGCCAGACAGTGGGCTGAAGCCCCATGAAGAACAGCTGTTCTGCCGTGGTCACCTTCCTGGGGCCAAAGGCTCCCGCCTGTCCCACATTCACATAATTACAGAAAGTGCCAGGCGATTTGGAGTAAGAGGACCTCACTCAGAGGGGCTCACCTTGATCCTACCTCCACTGAACTATGCTGTTCGCATCCTGTCCCTAAAGAAGAGAAAAATCACAAAGCCACGAGCAGTAGAGGCAGCCCAGCATACCTGGCCACTCCAAGCTGGGAAACTCACCTCCCTGATACTTGGGTCGAGGTGCAGGTGAGCAGCGTGGAGGCCTCCTGGTCTGATGAGTGGCACCCGGAAAGTGACGGGAGGCCCCACAACCTCAACAGACAGGCAGTGAAGGTAAGAAGACAGTGAGCCCCACCAGAGAGCATCAGCCCCCTCCAGGGACCAGCAGAACGCGGTCCAGGGGAAAATCAAAATACTGAGCCTTCTGTTCAAAGTCCAGAGGAAAGCGTGGTTAAAGGTACTGTCATAGAAAGCTTGCCCTTTTCTGAGGCCTCTCTCTCCCAACTTGTCATGGTGTTTTTCATTTGCTATTTAACTGTCATTCTAAGAAAAACAAAAAAGTTTAAATCATTAACTTGGGTCTGACCACTCATCTCTATGTTGTGCATTGCCCGTTTTAAGTGGGAATACAAGAGAACTTAGCTCATACGAAGCCCAGTGGCACAAGCTATATTCCGTAGCTGTACACGTTTATATGTTTTTCTCATACTAGACCAGTGGGAATGGTGAACAAAACTAACGCTGCTGTTTTTGTTTTGCTTCCCGACACACACATGCATTCTATTAATAAACAACTGAGGCAAGACTGAATGGAAAAGAAATTGTGGTTGTCCTATTTTTCTCTTTCCTTCTGTGTCGTAATTTTCAGCAGAAGTGGCTGGCTGAGGCATAGCTAACCTAGCACGTGTAAATCAACAGATGCTCCAGAAAAGAGGGAAAACTTAGAAATCTGAAGGAGTGGTGGATCTTTTGCATCAGTCATTTCTGGCAGGGATTGTGTGTGTGTGTGTTGCACAGGAGTGTATGTGGTTGAGTCAAGAGAAGAATGAGAGATGGATTGGCTGTTGCTGTTTAGTCCTAAGTTGTGTCTGACTCTTTGGCAAACCCATGGACTGTGCCTGCCAGGCTCCTCTGTCCATGAGATTTCCCAGGTAAGAACACTGGAATGGGTTGCCACTTCCTTCTCCAGGTGATCTTCCCAACCCCGGGATTGAACCTGCATCTCCTGCATTGCAGGAGGATTCTTTACTGCTGAGCTACCAACGAAGCCATGTATACATACATGCTGTATAGTTTTAAAAAACTGTAAGGAAAGTTCCCTAGGCAATGTCTTGAGCTCTAGAACCAGGAGGAATGCAAGCACACTCCCTGCTAGAGAAATGGCCTCTATCTGTAATCTAGGCTGTAAGCAGCTAATAACAGAGCCACTGACTATGGAGACTTTAAGCTACTGGTCTGGAACCATTACCAAAACACACACACATAGAACAGGTATATTTAAATATTTGTCAACTCAGAGGATAGACTTATTGGTGTATGTCATGGTGTTTACTGTACTTAGAAAAGAAAGCCAATACCTGGTAAAATCCTAAACTCCCAGAAGTGAGTGATCAAACAATGAAGCCAGCCTCCAATAACCTCTCTACCTCCTTTCCAATGATCTAAACAGACACAAGTCCCACATCAAGTTATCAACCAACATCTCTCCCTTGCACTCTTCAGTGGCTCCCACTGCCTAAAAATGCCAGGAATAAACATTGTGTGTGATGTCCAAGGCTCATTATAAACCTGGCCTCCACTTTTTCTTTCTCTTTTTTATTGGGATTGGACATGCTGGCCAGGGAATTCTGCTAACATGGTCGTTCAAGTTTGGAATCCTGGGAGCTAGAATTTTGGCAGACAATCCACTCTGGTATTTAAATATTAAAGTTATTCAGGTATTTTTAAGGGACTTCCCTAGTAGCTCAGCTGGTAAAGAATCTACCTGCAATGTGGGAGACCTGGGTTCAATCCCAGGGTTAGGAAGATCCCCTGGAGGAGGGCATGGCAATCCATTCCAGTATTCCTGCCTGGAGAATCTCGATGGACAGAGGAGCCTGGCAGTCTACAGTCCATGGGGTCACAGGACATGACTGAGCAATTAAGCACAGATATTTTAAAGCACTACGTGGACTATATCAAACATACTGGTGGGGCAAATACAGCTGATGATAGATGGCCTGTGTTCACCCAAGAGAGGATAAAAATGTTCTACTTTATCTTTCTTCTCATCACAAGTCAAAGACAGCAGTTTCCCCAACAACAGAAGGATCGCACTCTCTCAAAGTGGACATTTGATATTTATCAGAATGAAAAATATTCTGAGTCATCAAATAAGTCTCAAAAAACATAAAATATTTCAACCATACAAAGTATGTTCTCTGAGTGCATAAAAGCCAATTGGAAATCAATGACAAAGTCAGCATCTGGGAAAATCCTGAATTTTGGAAATGAAATACCATAGATGGAAATAAACCAAATCAGGAGTCAAAGAGAAATGAGAAAATGTTTCAAACTGCATGAGAATAAAGATACACTGTATAAATTCTGTGTATCATCAGGATGAGAGCGGTAACATGAGTATAGACTGTACAGATACTGAGATAAGCACTACGGCCAACTTTTCCCTAATAGAATCAGAAACTTAGATACAAGCAGCAAATCTGATGAAAGACAGGAGCTGCCAAATCACATTCAGAAAGAAATGGCCTAAAACTCCCAACATCTATGAAAGACATCCAATTTGTAGCTAAAAATTTTCCCAAAAAGAAAATTCCCGGCCTAAATGGTTTCACTGGTGAATTTCAGAAAACAATTAAGAAAGAAATATTATCAGTTCTGCATAAACTCCTCTGGAAAATTGGAGGAGAGACTATTTCCCAAGTCATTCACTGAGACTAGCATAAGACCAATACCAAAACCAGAAAAAGATATTACAAGAGAATTAAAAAAAATAAGTATGACTACAACCATCATCTTTCATGAATATAGACTTAAGAAATCATAGCAAAATTTTAGCAAATTGAATTCAATAATATGTAAAAAAATATGTAATATGATAAACATAGCGACCAAATATATTTTTCCTAGGAATGAAAAGTTGATTTAATTCAAGAAAAAAAAATCAATCAGTGTATTTCACTGTACTAATAAAATAAAAAACAAAAACCACATAATAAATCTCAATTAATATAGGGAAAGCGTGTGGTCATATTCAAACATCCATTCATTTAAAAATAAACTAAAAAAAATACTCAGCAAGTCTGGAATAGAAGTGAATTTAACTTGATAAAGGGCATCTATGAAAAACCCACAGGTAACATTACACTTAATGGTGAAAGAATGAATACTTTCCTACTAGAATCATAAGCAAGGCAAGAATACTTGCTCTAACCACCTCCATTTGACAGTGTACTGGAGATTATAACACTAATTAAGTGGAAAAAGGAAAAAAAAAACCTATCCAGCTAGAAAAGGAAAAAAGAAACTGGCTTTATTCATAGACTTAATTATTTTTAAATGTCTGAAGGACTCTATAAGAAAAGACATTAGTAAAGTGATTTTTGCAAACTTGTAGGATAAAAAATCTGTATGAAAATTAAATGTAATTCTATATTCTGGAAACAACCAACACAAATATTGAAATTAGTAAAGCAATATTTAAAATAGCATAAAAGAAGAAGTGTTTTGAGATAGATCTAACAAAACAGGTACAACACTTGAACACTGAAATTTTAAAAAAGGTTGGAGAATTTAAGGAAGAACTAAATAAATGGAGACCCTTACCGTGGCTAAGGGTCAGAAGAGTGCTATGTTAAGATGCCAACTTCCTTGTGGTTTTGATGTGCATTTCTCTGATAAGGAGTGATGTTGAGCATCTTTTCATGTGTTTGTTAGCCATCTGTATGTCTTCCTTGGAGAAATGTCTGTTCAGTTCTTTGGCCCATTTTTTGATTGGGTCATTTATTTTTCTGGAGTTGAGCTGGAGGAGTTGCTTGTATATTTTTGAGATTAATCCTTTGTCTGTTGCTTCGTTTGCTATTATTTTCTCCCAATCTGAGGGCTGTCTTTTCACCTTGCTTATAGTTTCCTTTGTTGTGCAAAAGCTTTTAAGTTTCATTAGGTCCCATTTGTTTATTTTTGCTTTTGTTTCTAATATTCTGGGATGTGGGTCATAGAGGATCCTGCTGTGATTTATGTCGGAGAGTGTTTTGCCTATGTTCTCCTCTAGGAGTTTTATAGTTTCTGTGGTCTATCCAAAAGTCTACAAGCAATAAATGCTGGAGAGGCTGTGGAGAAAAGGGAACCCTCTTACACTGTTGGTGGGAATGCAAATTAGTACAGCCACTATGGAAAACAGTGTGGAGATTTCTTAAAAAGCTGGAAATAGAACTGCCATATGACCCAGCAATCCCACTTCTGGGCATACACACCAAGGAAACCAGATCTGAAAGAGACACGTGCACCCCAATGTTCATCGCAGCACTGTTTATAATAGCCAGGACATGGAAGCAACCTAGATGCCCATCAGCAGACGAATGGATGAGGAAGCTGTGGTACATATACACCATGGAATATTACTCAGCCATTAAAAAGAATTCATTTGAATCAGTTCTAATGAGATGGATGAAACTGGAGCCCATTATACAGAGCGAAGTAAGCCAGAAAGATAAAGACCATTACAGTATACTAACACATATATATGGAATTTAGAAAGATGGTAACGCTAACCCTATATGCAAAACAGAAAAAGAGACTCCGATGTATAGAACAGACTTGTGGACTCTGGGAGAAGGCGAGGGTGGGATGTTTCAAGAGAACAGCATCGAAACACATGTATTATCTAGGGTGAAACAGATCACCAGCCCAGGTTGGGTGCATGAGACAAGTGCTCGGGCCTGGTGCACTGGGAAGACCCAGAGGGATCGGGTGGAGAGGGAGGTGGGAGGGGGGACCGGGATGGGGAATACATGTAAATCCATGGCTAATTCATTTCAATGTATGACAAAACCCACTGCATGATGTAAAGTAATTAGCCTCCAACTAATAAAAATAAATGAAAAAAAAAAAAAAAGAAGGCAAAGCAAAAAAAAAAAAAAAAAAAGATGTCAATTTCCCCAAACTGATCTATAGATTCAATGGAATCAGAGTGAAAATTCTGATGATTTTCTTGTAGAATTTGACAAACTGACTCTAAAATTCACATGAAAACATTCAGAACCCAGTAGAGTTAAAAAAAAAAAAACTGTAAAAAATAAGAACGAGTTTGGAGAACTAACATTCAGTCAGTTCAG